TGTGATCTCCCAGAAGGCTTGCATACAGGATGCGGGCGTGCATACAAAACACACAGACGTACGGAGTACAGGCACGCACATGCATACCTCTCCAAGGCAGAGAGATGCAAACCCGATAAGGGCCGGCGTTTGGTTTTGGCGGCTGCGGATGTCGGTGGCCGGTGGACTGCATGTGCTCGCACCCCCTTCGGCCAACCTAGGCCAAGGTTGGCCGAGAATCGAGGGATCTGACCGATGCTACGGAGCACCAATCTGCACCGTCAACTGCAAGACAAGGTTGTCGGAGAGCCCAGGCCGATACAGACAGGTCCCCTGTTAGCGCATCCCAAGCTGATGCTGTCGGACCGTCCCTTGTCCTTGTCAGTAGAAGCGAGATCTTTCGACTCCTCGTGCGCGATCTAGGAACGAATCGAAGCGCGTGAAAAGGAATCTGCGATGTATCGACCGTGACACTGGGAAATTTACTCCGTGCCTCGTATCACTGCCACCACAAACCTTGTGATTGCCCTTTTTGATTCGATGGCTAGCTGGCAGAGTTCGTACGGTGTAATCTGGATTGTGCATGAGTAAGGAATACGCATTGAAGGACGAGTCGCGTTAACATGCTCTCTCTTGCCCTTCATGCGCGGAGTGATCGCACATGTATGTCCATCCAGGAGTTGGCGACAGGATCCTCCATTTCATTGGTAAGGGTCGATTACTATTTCCCATCGGACTACCGCTCTTGGCAACACAGTACTGTATGCTGTAATGATTGCCAACTGTACGGATCCGATATTCTGGCTGCCATAGCGTCCTGCCGTAATTGTAGCAGAGACAAGTAAGCAGAACGGTCCCATGGGCGCCACTAGCATTTCTTGGTCTGGCGCCGACCTAAATTGCCCATTTGGAACCGGTAAATAATGGTACGATTTCAGATGACGATGGATATAAAGTGGAGAAGGCATTAAAGGTTGTGGAGAAAGAAAGGAAGCGTGAAGGATAGGTCACTGGCTCAGAGAACATATCCTGGGAAGTTCCGGGCCAAGGCAGTCCGGTGCTTTCAAATCACGTACTTGTATGAAGAAGCATGGAACCCGCTCAACAGCATCCTGCCGTATAACCAGGTGAACGCTACCGTGAGAAACCGAGGTGTTTAACCGACGGAGCCTCCCCGTGAAGATTCCGCTCCCCCCAAAACAGCACGACATGATATAGCAAGAGATGAAATGAGGGCGCCGTCTTCGTATCATCGTTGGTCTCATCAAACTGGAGCGTAGTATCGGGCTTGCTGGGATTCGGCCTTCGTGATTGATACGGTAAGGCTGAGAGGTCAGCGGGAGACAGGCAGCAGATCCGCGATGCCTGCAAAAGTGAGGCTGGCCCAGCTCGGTGATTTTGCTTTTGCTTTTGCTGTTGCGGGCTAGAACCGCTGCCTGCAGTATCGCCGATATGGACTGCCGCAACAATACGCTTCCAGCTACTCTTGTGCCGTTGATCAGCACCAGCTTCCATCGGGTTTGAGCTGTCTCGTCCATTACGTCCTTGGTTGGAAATAGCGGGGTTAGCCTGTGTTGTACGAAGCCGGGCGCATGAGAATCGCGCTATCGGCCGCGTCCCAGAAGATTTCTCTAGTGGCGTTTGAGTTGCCAGCAGCAGTTGAATTCGGAGGGTTGCCGTTGCAACTCTGCACATGCAAAGTTATCACAGCCCATCGCCAGCGCGTGAGTGGGTCGATATAGCCTCCCGCCGATCCATGCCGGTACCGATTCGCAAATGTTACGAGCACTACCAGTCACTCCTATACTCGTACTTGATCGAATAGTACGAATACAGCAGTAGTAGTGCTCCGTACATGCAGCATGCATGCAGGTCTGCGTCGAGCACAAAAAAATGCGTCATTGTCACGGCCTGATCAAAGCGCGTCGACTTCGAGAGGGGTAAGAGACAGAGATGCGGAGAGGTGAGCGGCACTGCCAGGCATTGACAGTAAAAGAAGGCGCATTTTACACGCAGGTCACATAGCTCTCTTCCTTCTTGCGAGGGTCAGTATGCCCTTTGGCCCCTTGCTGGCGTATACGGAGTGGTGCACAGCACGACGGTGCCATGGGTACGAGTACAGTACGTCAGGACAGCATCTCCATATTTGCCAGTCCAAATGGGGGAAATCTGCCGTAGCATATCGACATGGGATCGGCCCAAAACTTGGAGACGGCGTCGATGACCCGGCTGTTCCACGCGATGAGTGCCAACGGCGTCGTATCAGCCCCCCCTTGGCCCCTTGTCCAACGGTCGACAGAGCCTCCTTAATAGGGTGGCTAAACTGGGCAAAAAGCAAAACGAGAGAACGCAGAAAGAGACTCGTCACGTCAGTAGGAACCGAGGCCGACACACAGAAAACTTACTCGCGCACCTCGCAGTGGAATGATTGGCGGTCGCAGGCCAGTCAATGCCCCAGGATGACGCTGGCGACCTGAGATTGACTTGACAATGCACAGGGCAAATCGCGGGCTGACGGGCGGCAGCCTTTCTCGGCCTTCGCTTATTTGGAGGCCGCAGATGAGGGTGTCGAGGAGAGAAGATGGAGAGGAAATCAGGAATAATCGTGATGGCGTGTGGATAGAGCAGAAGGAGGGATGCTGTACGATACTTGCCAGGTACCTTGCAGTCGATTCCCTGCCTGCTGTGCCTGCCCTGTACTTGTACGAGTAAGAAGAGCTGCTCTGTTTGTCCACATTGCGCGCCGCCGCTTGCCTCTTGGGGGCCTTAGGTAAGCGTCCACTGACAGCGCCCAAATAAGATGGTAAATAAAGCTGCGCCGGCCTCTAAAAATATCCTCGTAATAACTGCTGCCACGTTTGGGTATTCCGCAAGTGCTCTACCGATCTGCCGTGACCTCAAACTCGCATCTACAGTGCCTCGAATTTGCCTGGCCATTGCGTATACCGCGGTCCCTGGTTTCCAAGCTGAACATGGCCAACATGTGCCAAGAGGCGTACAACTACTAGGTTAGGTCCTCAATTTGCGCCGCATCTGCCTCGAAGGCAAGCCGCCGAGAAGAGCACCGCCCAGAAAAGCCAGCAATGAGAAGCCAGAAGCAAATCTCACCCCCTTCCAGCCCCCACCATTAATAATGTCGAATCTCGAGAAGCAAAAATAAAAACCAATCCGAATCAAGCAGCCAAGAAAGAAAAAGAGGACCAGAATCAAGGCCCAACGGAATGGCGTGAGGTTGCGTGGACGACGAAGAATCTGACTGGGTCCCTCGGGGCAGCGCATGAACAATCTCGTTCATTTCGTCCAAATGCTGCCGCCAAGCCTCCGCCCCATGCACTTACTAGTACGTGCTTCTGCTTTCTAGTGCAGTAGTGCCCTCCATTCGATGCTACAAAATTATATTGCGACTGTGCGGTGCAGTGCAGTGCTGTGCCCGTGCAGTGGTCGTGCTTGGGCGCTGCATCTTCTGCAGGCTTGAAGGATGACGACGTCCGTTGGCTGCGACAAGGCGTGTCGGCATCATCTGGAACGAACACGCCCAAAGCAGAGAAGTAGAGAGAAAGAAAGGGAATCTCGCTCTCTGCTCTCCTCATTCGTCCAATTTCTCTCGACTGCATCCTCATCAGCCCGCAGCAATGCATCTTCGGCAGCTCCTCCACCGAAAGCAGCGTCTTCCTCGGCACCGAGTTGCGGAAGCTTAGCTCCCCGTGCTTCTTGTTAATTTAAATCATGCTGTGCAAAAAGCGCATAACCACTATGGAGTACGGGGGGTTGGCGGTTGATATTGCTACCTACGAGTATTATTACCATCTTGTCATTTCTTACACGTCACTTTGGCCCAATCCGTACCCCCGGCCCAAATCTGAGAAGGGAAAACTCTTACGGAGTGCTTTTGACATGGTACTACTCCGTACTCTGTGTAGTAGTAGTACTCTTTGTGGCATGTCATGGCCGTCTGCATGCGTAGGATCACACATTGTCCGGCTGACGTTTGGACGGGCACAGCCGCGCTCTCGCAATGGCTGAAAATAAATCTCCCGTCTGCAGAACAGCGGCCACCATTGGGCTTACCTGGTGTGGCGGCGAGTGGCAGACAAGCCCAGATATCATTAGTGATGCGTCACACGGAGGGCTCCCAAAGCATCCGCGAAGCACAGTCCAGTACAGTACAGTATAGTGCTCCGTACACGGGGCTTTTTTGAATTCCTACCCAGGCAGCCTGTACTGTAGCTAGAGGATTAGCCCAGAACAGGCAATAGTAATCGCAAGGTCAAAAGCCAGAGCCAGATCCCCTGCACTGCACTGCAGTACCTGTCCTCGTACGTGTACGGAATATGCTCGTGGACGCTGTGCATTTTGCCGGCAGCGGAGTCTTGACATCATTGCGCCAGGATGCCTCCCCCCAACACTTGGTTAGATTATCCGTCATTTCATCGACCTCGATCCCACATTCTAGGCTCCAGATGCATGCTGCAGCCTAAAGACGAGCCCTTCATTTCGCTGCTGTTCTGGCCACCCAAAAGCCCAGCCCACGGCCCAAAAAGCTAATCGACCCCCCTCTCAATTTGTAGGGGAAAACCCCTCAATCCGGGGGTTCAGCAACACCACCCGGCATAGCTTGGGGCCTTCCGACGCTATTTACAGAATGTGGCCTGTAGGAGGTGCAGCCTGAAAATAGAAGACCAGACCTGGAACGGTCAGCAGAGCCCTCTGCCTCCGCCTCTAGAGCCACTCCTTGACCCCCAAATCTTAGTCTTCCCCCCCTCGCAGCAGGAAATCGGCCCATCTGATCCATCTACGATCAGTCACACGGAGCGTAAATCTCACGCCGAAAGGGCTGGATGTAGTGTAGAGGTAAAGTATGTCGAGATGTGTGTGCGAAGCGAGCACGGAGTACGTACATGTATTGACAAACGGCCGATCTCCCAGATCAGACGATCGGCTACGCTCCACCCGTTTCTTCCTTTCCTTCTGTCCAGCAGTCTAGATGCCGTCGATTTGGTTCTAGGCGTTCGGAGGTTATCCTACTTCTTGTCATAGTAGCCTATGGTCGAGTAACGTCGGTGAGTACGAGTACATCTGATATAAGCCAAGAAATCTCACACGAGGGTTGCAGCGTCCCAGAATCGGGAATCGTCCTTTGACCAAAACGTCAACATACCCGGCCGTTGCCGAGGGGGCGTGCCAGTATGAAAAGGACTAAGGAAATGGGATACCCCTTTGTTTTCGAGCTTCGCCCTTCTTGGCGTGATATTATACCAGCAATTTGTACTAGTGCTTTGCATGGGCATGGTGGCTGGGAAGCTTCCAACCCCCGCCGCATCTGATTATACTAGTATCGTGGCCAGATCTCGAGTCTATCATTTGTCATCCTTCAGAGATTTTCAAGTCAGAGTCGCCCACCACTGGGGCGGGCGTCTAGCTGTCATGAAAGAGGGTCTTGTGCAAGCGAGCTTGAGCTTCTCCTTGCAATCGCGGCTAGTGTCGCCTTATTGTAGCATTAGCTGGAATTGGTTCATGCACCTAGCCCAGCAACAAGGTGAGAAGAGACGGAGACAATGCGAAAACAGAGTACCGAATTCACCAGTCGGTGTGATGTCTCCCTATTCTTCCCTTTGCCTAGCCCAAGACATTCGCTGAGACCACCTATCATTGGCGGCTACTCAAGTTATACTCTGCTGGGAGACAACAACACGCGCTTCTGAATTCTCACACGTCTTTCCGTGGTGAAACGCGCATCCTACAGGTTAGGTGTTAGAGAATAACCTCAAAGTTTCCTCGAGTCATAATGACGCACGGCAAGGCAGGTTGTCAGAGTCGATGTCTCCGACCTCCCTGTCAAAATCAGGAAGCTTACTTGAACGAGCGAACCAGGCCTAATAACCAACACAACTGGCAGAGTAGCATCTGAGATGCTTGGCGATGCCTCCAGATCGAACAGCCACACTCTTCGCTAGTTGCCCGCTGTACGGTCGTGGGCGTGGAGCATTGAAGTCATTATTCCCTCGCACCCTCCAACCAAGAGAGACAGCTACACAAGTAAGATAGGGCAATATACACCGAGAGACCTCTGCGATAGGCAGGAGGAAATGCGTAACAACGCACGGAGAATGCCGCGAGTGCTACTCGTGCCCATCATCCTCAGCTGCTATGCCTATATATGGAAGCAAGCATGCTATGAGAGATGATGGGAAAGAGGCTGGGGTGGATGTCATCCAACGCCATTTCAAACCCTCGATCGCCCTACCAAGTGCCATAAGCTCGAATAGAAATGGTTGAATGGCAAGTATTCCATACCACCTTGCTATATACGAGTATATATTATGACCCTCTTCACGCGGCTTCAAAGTTTGTGCTTATCCTTGTGGCAATGGCCTGTATGGAAAGTGGTTGAGCCGGACGTGGTTTATACTGCGTAAATGTCCCATGCATGAAAATATCCCGAAAGCCCGAGACATCATTTGCCGATCAACGTCAAGTTAGTCAGACAACGTTCGGAGCTCATGTAGACCAGTAACAGATGGTAGCCCACATATTATTATTCGTATACGCATGCTGGCGATATGTACTCAGCCGACACGCCATGCTTCTGCCCTGTGCATGTGGTAGGGTCTGTCTGTTGTTCGGAGGAAGCTTCCAGCTTTGGAAATGGTCCATCTTTCGGATCAAGCTTGTGTGGCGTGCTAGTAAATGGCAAATTGCCTGCCACACCACACAAACTTCCAGATCATGCTACTGGTGGTGCTGCCTTGATGATTGCCACGAAGCAAATTGCCATACGTGAGCTTCTGGCGATTCGACGAAATTATTACAACCAAGATTCCATAATGGTGTGAGGAGGTGGAGCTCGCACATCCCTCCCTCCATGCAGGCAAGCTGTCTGCTGGGGGGTTCGGGTGAAGGGCTTAGAGGCCTTTAAAGTTGACCTGTGATGCCGATTTGCAGCCCAGATAAGTCGCCATGGTGCTCAAGGGGTAAGAATGGAGAAGGGGGCATGCTCGCTTAGACAGAAATGTGCCGAATACGGAATATCCAGAGAGATGATCCGTAGCATTGTCCTCCGCATCAAGTACAGTACGAGGAGCTGTTATTATTTTCAGCGGATCCTCGCTTGCTAATGAACGGTCTGGCAGCTGGACAGCCGATCTCCCAGTCTCGCAGTGGGCAATGTTAGTGTTGGACCCCGGCGTCGCACCTTTTCTTTCCCTTTTCTTTCTCTCTTCTTTCTCGGCCGCCAAGCAAGCAAAATTCATCGGGTCAATGGTCGCCGAGCCCAGCCACGCGCAAGGGTACAGAAGGAGACGAAGGATCACCATAAGAGCAGCAACAAAAGCTCATCACATTAGATGTGATTGTTCGCAAGACGTGCATGTACGAGGGCGAGGGCATGGCATGGCATGGCATGGCCTGGAGCGGCGGCTCATCATGGCTTGTACACAGACTAATGCATGCTAATTTCGTTGACTCGTAAACGGGCTTGCGATGGAGAAGGTTCGTGTCGGGCGCAGTGGTTTGGCGTGTGTGCGTGTGATCGAAAGAAAAAAAAAAAAAGCGACGTAAAAGTGGCTCTTGAGTGGGACGCCGTTTGATCGATCCATCAAGAACAGACAATCGGCGCTATTGAACGATACCGCTGCCTTAGTCAAAAGTGGACTGTTCTGCTTGGCGCCTTGCGCGCTCGGAACTGCAAGAATATTCGATCCTCCCAGCCTAGAAGCTAGAAGCACACGCCACGTGCGAATCCGACACCTGTGGGGTGTTCCATTGGCCCATGAATGGCTTTATCCGGCCAGGCCAGGGTCCCTACGCAGCCAAAGCAAATTTCTTGTTGATGCAGTCTGCGCGAGCTGAGGAGCCCCTTGTGAAAGGCAAAGGCTCTCTTGTTCCAGACCGAGCAGCCAATATATCCAACCCCGCTTTGCCCGTCTCATGACGACAAAGACTAGCCTGCCGTGCCTGTGTTGCGAAGTACTCGTTGCGTTGAGCAGAGACGGGACCTGTACAGTACGTAAGCCTTGGCCAAGCCGTCAAATCTTGTCCTGAAACCCCGGCGTACGCCATTCCTTTCGTTTGGCAAACGCCATGTAATCAGACCTGTCGGCCTTGGTGTGACTGCTCGTAGTCGAGTGCAGGTATAAGGACACAAAAGAACATGCCTCATGTTTGCCTATCTCTCTTGGACGGCTGAATGGCGTCTCTAGCAGGGATGCGGCCGGCTGGTTGCCCTGTGAAGGGAAGAACAAAATCGGGAAGAAGACCCGGACATTCCATGGGCTGACTGAGGTTGAATCTCCCGACGGCTACGAAAGAAGCCATCTGTATTTGTTGGATGTGTCCTTGATCCTCTTTGAATGCCACCTGCGTAGCAATGGATACAAATCTGATTGATATCCTTGTTATATGACGCGTGGAACACGAAAATTTGTCATCAAGTGATTCTGCTGTGCTCGGCATGGCATGAAAAGCGTTAAACGTTTGCCGAATAGAGCCCCTGTGGAGCAAACAGACAGCGATTTCTTTTGCTCTTCCCCTCTCACCACAGCCGTCTCTTTGAGAGGTAACACAACCACGTATGCGATTCGGCTGGCTGCACCAACCACAAGATTTTAACCATGCTTGAATATATTAAAATTTCCGAGTGCCGCAAGACGGGCGATTTGGCGGCACAAAGACCGGAAGCTGTGGTGAGGTGTGCCAACGTGAGCACATTTGTGTGGCCACCACGTTCTGGACTCGCTGGACTCTGTGCCCTGGACAGACATAGCAACCAACCGGCCTTCGATGGCCAAATGGAGCGCGAAGGATTTAGTGACTCATTTTGTGGCTGGCCAATTCTGCGTCTTGATTGTTATGCGGCGCGCAAGCAGCGCGTACCGTATGGGTGCGGATAATGCTTCTGCATCCCGTCAGCCAGTTATTCAAGATGTAGAGAAAAGCGGCTAGGATCGAGGAGCAGTCGCTGGGGCGAGATCGAAGCTAGTGCTTCAATGTGGATGCCATCCTGCGTCTCCTCCTATGCCTTATCGAGGTTTTGGGTAGTAGCAGTGGCGGTAGCAGTACCGTTAACAGTACCGTCTGATCCTGCTGTGCAAAAACACTCTGGTTCGAGTACAAGTATAAAGAATTATACTACCCCGGAAATCCTCATTGGTAGAAACCCGGTGTTAGTGAGAGGGCCGACTGGGGATGCTCGTACATTTGAGAATATGCACTCGGCGGCCACGCCCAATTCGGCAATAATCTGGACGCAGCTGGTGGAAATGATGTGGATGGCTACTAGGGACGGACTGGAATACAGTAATTTGAAGCTGATCGAATAGCAGCAGTATTGGTGGCATGAAAAAGGAGGGAAGGGGTATGAAACCTAGCAATCAATGATGCGCTTCTTTGCATCCACACCAATTCCCCTGAGGCTTGACTGGTTGTGGTCAAGGAAAGAAACTGAACAAATGGGGCATGATGAGCGCCTGATCTGATAATAACGGGCAGCAGGCGACAATAATGAACGCAGACCAGTAAATATCAATGCATATATCAGAGCCTGCGATAGCACTCGGCTGGAGTCCGTGTTGACAAGCTGTCGTCTAGACCTTAAAAGTGGTGCCGCTGGTCGTCTCACTCACATGTATCCTGTAGGTTGTACAGCACGGTTGACCAATATGCACATGTACAAGTATTACAAACAAGCCAAGACAAAGTTAATAAGTTGGAAAGGCTGAATAGGGTGTGAAAGCAACACGGTCCACCATGGGGCCATGCTTCAAGATGTCGAGGGCAATGTCTTGATATTGTTGGTAATGGCACCCCACGACGATGGAGACGGAGCGCGATCGATGCGCTGAGGCTATCGAATGGCTAGCTGATCGATCCAACGTGGCCTGGGCGCCGTCGATTTCTAGAGTCAGCTGGGAGAAATACATATCCATGCCACTAACCGTATTCTGTCCAGCCAGTTTCATGCTCCAGGAGGTACATATATTATTGCCTCTGGCGGAAAATTCATGGTTGCTCGTAGAGCGAAGCCCAATCGCTGATCCCTGCCAAATGCTCATTTCCACTTCTCTCAGCTCGCTGCCGGGCTGGGCTTGTCACCCTTGGTGTGATCAGATAGCATAGTACACGCAGCGCTCGGAGGGGAGGTCCGAACGGGAAACAAAACTAAAAAGTTCCTGTTCTAAATCTAGTAAAGCAGCCTGCGGTTAAGGAAGTTGTAGCGCGTCGCCGTCTGTCATAAATGGGTTGATAAACAGTGCGATGTGGGTGCCTCGACAGTGACGATGGACTCTGAACT